AAGTAAGCTAAAAATGCTTCCTAAAAATGTTTCAGAAGTGTAACAAACACCTTCATGTGAAATAACCCCAAAACGTACTGGACTTTTTACAAAGAGTGAGCCTGAAGGTCAAGCTGACCAAGCTCGAAAGGAGATTTATCTGTAGCTGTTACACGAAACACCTGGCAAAAGAAATGCATTCTTCCCCGGGGTGTCTGTGGTGAATGTCTTATACAGGAGATCCAATGCCCTTACTTTGAAGGTGGCCTGTCTCCTGCCTTCTTTAGAAATGTGGAAAATGGATGCATGAGCTTGGAGAGGATGCTGTCATTCCCCAGATGAGACATGAGAGCATCACTAATCACTATCCAAACTTCCTTAGGCATTTTCCACTGGAACTAATATTGATTGACCTCTGTGTTCAGCAAGTCGTGTCCTCTCACAGATGCTCATAGTGCATTTCCCCCCACCCTGTTCCAGTATAATCTTGCATAATAAGCTTTCCTTGAATTTTTTACTCTTGATGTGAAGATCCCCCTTTCAAAAGCTTATGCATCACCTAAGAGCAGGGAGACCTCCCAGAGGATTATGTTTATAGCACTTTTAGTTTTGTTTATTCCTCACTGCAGTTCTTTTCAATTTCTTACTCTGCTCTTGATCTTTGAACCCTGTCGCTTGTTTTCCCCTCTTTAATACCGCAGATTGGAGGTAAATTCTTACTGTGTAAGACTCTGCATCCAGTAATCATTATCCTGAAAAAAATAAATCTTTATGGAGAAGCACAAATGAAATTTGCTATTTTTATTTCACCCATCAATGTTTAAAGGGGAGAATAACTGTACCAGATAGGCCTTTAATGGCAGCAATGTTTATTTATGTTTCTTCCAACGGATAAGTACACCACTGCTAATAAAAATTACAGATTGAATAGCTGAAACGGGGAATTTGATAGCAAAGCAATAGGTTAGGCCAGGGAACAATACAAACAGTTTACTAGTGAAAGCTAGCATATTGTACGAGTTCTTTAGTGGTCTATAAAAGGCCTGCTCCTGCTTTTGTATTGTATAATGACCACACCACTCTTTTATTTCACTGGAATTATGTTGAATGAAATTATGTTTAGCTACAATACCTATAACAGTAGCACAGACTAGAATTTAGTAGATGCCAAAACACATGTCTTAACCATGCACTTATGGCTGTTATACATGTATTAGCCTTATGTAACTCAGAATGATTTACAACTGTGTTGCAAATCTCAGCAACAGATTTGATAACTGATTGGTGAAAATGTCGGTGTGTTAGGTCAAGGGAAAAAATGATCACACTGCCACATTTGTGAGGCTGAAGGGACAGTTACAAAGAAGTAGGTGAAGCCACACATTTAAATGCAAAGCTGTGGAGAAAATGGCGGCCTAATGTTCTCAAAACATTGCTGAAATCCTCAGAAAATTACATCTGACCACCTAACTAAATGGTACACTTTGGCTGTCGTTAGAACCAGAACTCCCTTAAGGGGTAAAAGACGTTGGCCAGAATTCTGTTGATTAGTCATGCTGGCTTTAAGTGCAGTAGCATCATTTGCAGCAGCAAACTGCCCACTAGATCGCAAGTCATTGCTTGTATTCTTCATCACACACCCAGTCATGGGTCTTTTTTGAGATAAGGAATACAAGTGGCGACTTCTTAACTAGAGGCAATTTGCTGCTAATCATTGCTTGTATTCTTCATCACACACTCAGTCATGGGTCTTTTTTGAGATGAGGAATACAGTACAAGTGGCAACTTCTTAACTAGAGGCAATATGCTGCTGTCGCTCATGCTGTTGCACTTAGGTGGGTGTGGATCATGAATAACAACCTTGGCATGTTGTAAATTAATTTGCTTTGGCTTTCAGACTGATAATAGGGAGGTAAACAAGGGCTTCATTTGCAAGTCTCATTACCCGAACATGGAATTTTGAAGGAATTGTATGTCTAGAGGAAAAACAGGGCAGGAAATATGCATTTGACCCTGCAGGCAAGTGCATGAGATATTTTTGGTTTTATTTTAGCCTCTGAGACTGTACGAGTCTCGTAGTGACACCTGTGTCCCAGATAAAGCCTATTTGTTTTTGGAACAGCGCCCCTGCCTTATCTCTGGGGTCTGTGCCGCTACAGAGCCTCCTCCCCCGTTGCTTTCATTGCATGAAAGGTTTGCTGCAGTGCGTCTACTTCTAAGTCTTGCAAAGAAGTTCTTGACCACATGAGGAACATCTACATTTGGGTTCTGTTTTTCTCTATGGCATCATCCTCTCATTCAGAAATCTGGCTAATTCTAGATCACAGTTTCTGAAAGCATATTTTTGTTTGGGACAGGAAACTTAAATGCCATGAAAGGAGCTTAACCCACAGTTTCGTATGAGGAAGCTATTATCCGAAAGTCATGGTTCGACATTTTTAGAAATTATTACACGCTATAGAAACTAGCTTTCTCTTTGAAGTTCCCTGGCTGCCTTCTTACCTGCCTCTTTTTTTATTATTATTTTACTCTTCTCCATCATGTATTTAACAAAACAATATAGGGTAGAGGGGGAAAAGGAAGCCATCCGAATTGTATAATTGAGAAAAAGAATTTTCTTCTCTCATTTTCACGTGGGGCTGTTTTTAGATCAATACCTTTCCCAGTTTGGGAGTGAAATATCCAGAACTAGGTCCCAGAAAGAGTCTATCCAGTGAGCTGGCCAAACTCTGGAAATGTGTTAATGTTGGGACATAACTAGATATTCATTAAGTAGGATAACAGGATGGGTGAGTTTCTAGTGAGAAAATTTGTTATCAATTCTACACCGTGACCTATTTATAGCCTGGCTTGCTCTGAAGCACCTGAACACTTACATTTTCCACTTTAGCCTGCAAATACATGATTACTATGCATGTGATCTTATTTTTTAAAACTTTTTCTCATCGCCATCCTTCATCTTCAAGCTCGCTATGCAGGTAATAAAGGAAATAAATCAAGCTGCTGAACGGGAAGTGATCATTCACTCTTAGGGCGTCCTCCACAAGGAGCCCTGGGAGAATTGTACTATGTGTTATGAATCCAGTGCTCATAAAGTCCTTGGAAGTTTCCAAAGTGTGTAGGAGAGATTTGTTTCATCCGACAGGGCAGTTTGCAGGCCATTGTGATAACATGCAGTTCCAGGGGCATACAAACGTTGCCCTTCAGATTACTCGTAATTGAGATCTGCTCATTTGCAGTCCTCATTGCACTCCACTAAGACATTTAAACACACACACACACACACACACACACACACACACACATGTTTAAATGTCTTAGTGGAGTGCATTGAGGATGGCCACAATCAGCACAAAGAACAGAAATTCATAGTGCACCTGGACAGGCAGTTAGAATTATTTGTGTCCTTCCACAAGTTCCTCTGAAGAAAAAGCTCTGCCATTTTGGTGTATTTTGGGACTCATACAGATGGAATGTATGTTCTTAACTTATTCAATTCTGATTTTACTGTTCTCACCAATCAGATACAGTAATGTGCTTCTTGTATCACCTACTGTAGTACAGTGACATTTTCCATACCAGCTGTACTTTTTAATCCGTCCTGAAAGGAAGGTTTATTTTTTTATATCACGGTGTTCTGGGGGGGTGGAGTTTAGCACGATTACATTCCCCATTTGACATTAACAGCTGGTGAGAGTCTCCTGGTTTGAGATTTTCAGTTAGCAGTCAGCACACACACAAACACCAACAATCTCCAACACAGCAGCGGAGTTCTTAAATCCTTTTAAAAGATTTTCTTAAAGACGTCCTAAAGAGAATCTTTCAGAAACGTAGCCATGTTTATCTGTGCAAGCACTGTAAGAAAAAAAATCTAAATAAGCAAAATAAAAGACAACAACCTTGTAGCACCTTAAAAGCGGTTTTATTTTAATTTGAGATTTCGTGGATTGCAACCAATTCATTAAGACTACCAAGCTATAAATAATTTCAATTGGCAAGTACTGGATATGAGTCTATAAAGTAACAGTAGCATTATTGTTACTTTATAGACTCACTTCACTTATGTCAAGAATGCTTCACTTATGTCAAGAATGCTAACAATAGCATTCTTGACATAAGTGGAATGGCGAAAGTCAGTCTGGGGTCTCAGATTTGGTAATGGGTTAGGAAGCCTTGGTCAATGTTTAATGTTTAATCCCTTTGACCAGCTGTCAAACTTATGTTTGACTTCCGTCAAACTCTGTCTCTTTTTCAAGTCTTATACAAAAGCAAGGGCAGGTGATACCTTTATTAGATCACGGAAATAAATTGCTAACTTTCGACCACACCAGTCTTCATCAAACTGTGCACCAATATATTGTGGATAGTGAAGGGTGGAAAAAAAACATATGAAAGTCTCAAAAGTCATGGCCTTTCGACCACACCAGTCTTCATCAGACTGTGCGCCAATATATTGTGGATAGTGAAGGGGGGAAAAATATGGAAGTCTCAAAAGTCATGGCAGATGTCCATGCTAGGTCTGTTTCTTTAAAAAATGAGTTTCAAAATGCAGGCATCAAACGCAAAGTTTTCTGCAAACTGCAGTTCAGGAACACTTGAGTTATCCAAGGTTGGGAGCCACTGGTCTAAACTATCACACATCACCTGAGTTTATGCTGAACACTTTGGTTAGGATCCTGTTACAGAATGGAGGGGAAATTGTGTAAGTCTCCACCCCCACTTGTTCTGGCAGGATCCTCCTTGTGTACCTGTTCTTGCATTGGTTGCAGAATTGGTCACACAATGGGGATGGATTGGGGCCACTTATGCACATCTCTGCCCTTCCATACCTAAGCAACAGACTGCTAGTCTTTAGGTTCCAAACTGAAAGAGTAAATTACCTTCACGGGCATTAGATGGTAAACACCCTGGTAGAGTAAAGTGCTGGGCATAATACAATTGATTTATGTGCATGAAATGAATCAGACTTTCTCGGTTTCTCTTTTTCTTTCCCCTTCTTTCCTTGGCTTGCTGAATACAAGTGAGAAAAAGCTCATCACGGATGCTCTGAACAGAAACCAGTTTTTGAAGAGGCTGGACCCTCAGCAGATCAGAGATATGGTGGAATGTATGTATGGAAGAACATACCAGCAGGGAAGCTATATAATCAAACAAGGGGAGCCTGGCAACCATATATTTGTTCTGGCAGGTTAGTAAACCATATTTGTCCATTCGAATAAATGAAGCCAGCCGCTGTGCAGCAAAGTCTTACTGTTAACACATTATTGTAAGAAGATCTCCACTGATATCTTAGCCATGTTCTGCCTAATCCAGAATCCTATTTCCTGAAACAGTTGATCTCAACTTTTGGTCCTCCAGATGTTTTGGAGCTATTTAATAGCCCAGTGGTTTAGGTCTCTGGTTGCAGAGCCAGAGATTGGGAGTTTGATTCCCCCATGGGGCCTCCCTGAGAGGGGCTGGACTGGATGATCCGTAGGGTCCCTTCCAGCTCTGCAGATGATTTTTCTTAAATGAACTAAAATATTTCTATCCTTCTATTGAAAGGACAGGGGTTACAGACAATAAACTAATTTCATGTTAATTGAAATGATTTAGAATAACAAAAAATGACTTTATATAATTTAGGAGCCCACAGTCTAACCAAGATCAGAGGGCAGCTCACGATCAAGAAAGAGGAGGGCGCCCCCTGAAATTCTTGGGGTGAGATGTTTTCCCGTTCCATTCCATGAATCATGCCTGCTTCAATTGACCATTCCTGAAAGATTCCAAGAACAATGCAAAAAGCATGCTGCTTACAAGTTAATGATGCAGGCTACACATTGCCCCCCCAGTGAGCTGGGTACTAATTTTACCGACCACGGAAGGATAGAAGGCTGAGTCAACCTTGAGCCGGCTACCTGGGATTTGAACCCCAGGTCGTGAGCACAGTTTTGGCTGCAGTACAGCGATTTAACCACTGCGCCACGAGGCTCACGAACAGTCAAGTTTGGCTTGTTGCCAAAATGTCAGGACCATTCTGATCTCCATGGGGAGGGCTATTCCACAGCTGACGTTCTACCATAGAGGATGTGTCCTGTCTACTGTCTCCATGTGTGGGACGAGAGCTCTTACAGGAATGGTGGCAGTTGTTAGGCATATTTTATGTACCCCCCAGCAGTTTATATATTGCTAGGATATGCATATGAAACACACAGAGTATCGTATTTTTCCATGTATAAGATGCCCCCATGTATAAGACACCCCCACTTTTCCAACCCAAAATTAAGAAATCTAAGTAGGGGGAAAGGGATCAAAGTGCTACAGGATCGCTTTGATCCCTGCTTTCCCCTCTACTTGTTTTTGTTCTTTCCTCAGCTTACTTCCATGTATAAGACGACGCTCAATTTTTAGTCTAAAGATTTTAGACAAAAGTATAGTCTTACAGTATACACAGAAAAATATGGTATATACATATATGTGTGTGTGTGCGCGCACGTGCATGTGCATGTGTATATGTATATGTATGCACTGTGTGTGTATACATATATATGTGTGTGTGCGCGCGCACGTGCATGTGCACGTGTATATGTATATGTATGCACTGTGTGTGCATGTGTGCTTGTGTGTGTGTGCATATATATATCTATAGCTATAGCTATTTTCCTTGGATCATGGTTGCTATGTGGCGCGGTTAGACTCGGAAGGCCCTATAGTTTTTCCGGCTCTAAATCAGAGGCAATTTGGCTGGCTTGACTCAGTTTCCTATTGTACCCTTTTTTACAATCATCTGGTCCAAAATCAGTTCCATTCCTCCTGATCATGGTTGCCTTGTGGCGTGGTTAGACTTGGAAAACCCTATAGTTTTTCCGGCTCTAAACCAGAGGCAATTTGGCTGGCTTGACTCATTTTCCTATTATACCCTTTTTTACAATTATCTGGTCCAAAATCAGTTCCATTCCTCCTCCCAGACTTTGCCTGACCTGCTTATATGATGCCACAAAGGCCCATCACCTGGTTTCAGGCTTTGGCAGTGAATCTCAGGGACTAGGATGTTCCTGCCCTGGTACCCCTAACTAATCTCTCTCCTCTCTCTCTCTCTCTCACTCTCTCTCTCACACTCACTCACTCTCTCTGTTTGTCACCAAGGCCACCCAGGCTGGCTGGCCCTCCTTCATCTATGACTGGGGCAAGGCATGTGACTTTCTAGCTCTCCATCTATGACTGGGGCAAGGCATGTGACTTGGTGAACTTATAGCTGCTACCGTCATGCCTAATTTGAATGCCAGTACATTTAAACTGTAGCCATTCTAGTTTAATCAATAGCTGAATTCCGTTACTCCTAATTAAGCAACGGAATCAATATTAGGGAGGAAATTGCTTATGGAGACGTGATCTTCTGAGCAAAAGCTGTCCCTTCCTCTCTGCTAACAGGCTCCTCTCTAATTTCAAATGACCCCATCTAATGCCCCAACAACAAATTCAGGATTACCAATGTAGCTCATTTGTGTACAGCCTGCTGTGAAATGTTCCAATGGAGGAAGCAATGAGGCACAGCAAAGATATGTAGAGTCATGCTTGGAGTTTGCCAGCACATGCCATCTCCACTTTAGTGGGAACAAGAAATAAAAGTTTAGACTAGAGGAAGGTAAAGTATTCTTAACGCTAATGAAATTCATTTTTCAACAGCGATAATGTCTAAAAGAACTTTCTGAGAGGCAGGAATCTTTGTTGAGAGACTGCAGTTTATCTTAGGACATACGTGTTGTAAATTGAATTTAAAGCTCGTACAGGAACTTTGAACTGTGGGCTATACAGTATGGTAGCTTTTAGTCTTATTTCCCTGTTCTCAACAGTAGGTGACTATAGTCTACGTCTATGGATCTGTGGGTGATTTGCACCAGAGCAGCAAGAGTTTCTTATTACAATCTCAAACAACAAAATGACTCTTCCTCACACTGGCTACCCTGCTGAAATAAAGCAGGCTGGAGTAACAGAGGAATGCGTTTTGCTCAGTAGAAATTCTTGGCCTCCAAAATGTTACCGTTATATTTCTTTCATATCAAACTATGGTGGATGGATCTAAGGTTTTGTCGAAGTTGCTTCAGTCCAGTGGAAACATACATGTTTTGCACGCAAAATGTTCCAGGGTTTAACCTCCATAATCTCTTGATGGAATACCTTAACTCTCAAAGCATTGCTGCCCATCGATGATGAAAAGATGATCTAGAAAAGATGGATCTAGAAAAGATGGAGAAGCTAGATCCATCCTCAAGCAACTTGCTCTGTTCTTAATCTGTTAGAACCAAATTGGTACAATTTTGTACAATGGGTTGACTGCATTGCTCAGCACATTCACCTTTTTGATTCCTAAGTAGTAATCTGTATTGGGCATCCTGTTGGAATGTATTTGCTAACATCTCTGAGGCTACTTATCCCTCCTCTCAGACAACAGGTCCGTCTCACCCGGTATGGTCTCCTCTGAGGGGCAGTGGTTTTAGAAAATCATGGGCAAGAGAAAACACATTCCAGGGTCTCAAGAAGAAATACTTCCCATCTCCTGCTGTCTGACCCCCTTTTTGAAAAACTAGTAGAGTGCTTGATGGGTTAGCATGGGGCCATTTGCATGGGAAACCGGCCCTCTGCGTCTGAACTGTGGCTTGCTGGTGGCAATCAAGAGGACATAGGGAGACACAAAAAGCTACACTCCATAGGCTGCACAAGTTTAATATACACCCCACCTTTCTCCCTTGCAGTACTCGAGTTATGTAGATTTTGCAGCCTAAATCTAAAAACAGATCCAGCTCACAACCACAGTAACTTGCAACATTAAAACAGCATTCCGGAGATGAAGACATTAAAACAATTAATGAAGTTTTAAAAGCATTTAGAAACGACCGCAGAAAAAGAGTGTGTGAACATCCTTCATTGAAAGGAACCTTCTTTCATAGAAGGAGATGAAGCTTTTAAATAATAATAATCATTCACCATCAAGTCATATCTGACTTATGCCAACCCTTTTCAAGTTTTTTCTAGGTAGAGAATATTCAGAAGTTGTTTGTTATTCCTTTCTTTTGGGGGTGCCCTGGGATTGTGCAGCTTGCCCAAGGCCACCCAGGCTGGCTGTATTCAAAGGAGGCATCGTGGGGGAACTGAACTGCCAACTTCTAGCTCTGCAGCCACTGAGCTATCAAGAAAACATGATTTTTTTAATCTGTGCTATGGCACTATAATTAAGTGTTTTTTCTTGATAACTTCTTCTTTCCTTCTCCCTCCACCCAGAGGGCAAGCTGGAAGTCTTTCAACAGAGCAAACTTCTCTCATCAATTCCTGTGTGGACAGCATTTGGGGAGCTAGCTATATTATACAACTGCACAAGGACAGCCTCTGTAAAAGGTGAGTATACTTATTTTCCAACAAGGTAGAAGGGAATGGAAGCCATTAATAGTGCCCTCAAAAAGTTACTCTTCATTGAAAGCAGAGGTTTTGATGAAGATCCGGGGTGGGGGTGGGGGGAGGAAGAACTGAACAAAAATGGTTTTAGTTTTTGTACATGAGTGTCTGACATGTTAGCAGAGTACTGCTGGTGGTAAAATAAGTTTATGGCAAAAGAGTAGGATGATCATTATAAGGTGAAAAGAAAAACGTGTTGTTCCAATAAATATGTTCAGGATACAATCGGATAAAATTTACCTTCTGCAAACTGTCCTAGATGTTTACAATGGCATATTTTAAAAACTTTCTCACCTGTTTTTTTTTTAATATTTATTATGTTTGTCTAACAAAGTGGACTTATCCACAAAAGCTCACATTAGAATGTAGCAATTAGCCTTCAAAGTGCTACAACCTTTTTGTCTTCTTTGGTTTTTATTTTGCTTTTGCCTGATAGGCTAGTACAGACTAACATGGCTACCTCTTCTAAAAATAGTAGTGTATCTGTGAACATATTCTCGTCGAATGTAATGCCAAAAATTTGCTTTGTTTTATGTGTACCTAGGCAATATCTCATATATTGCCTAGGTACACAAGATTAGACCAAGATTAGACCACTATAATGCGCTCTACGTGGGGCTACCTTTGAGGTTGCTGCGGAAACTACAGGTGGTGCAGAATGCTGCGGCCAGATTACTTAGTGGAGTGAGAAGATTCCAACATATCTCGCCCACTCTGGCCGCACTGCATTGGCTGCCCATCCGATTCCGCATCGACTTCAAAGTGTTGATGCTTACCTATAAAGCCCTAAACGGTTTAGGACCTCGATACTTGGTGGAACGCCTTCTCCCACCAAGATCTACCCGTGTCACTCGTGCGAG